AATGGGTTTTGTTCTTTCTGTAAAAAGAAACAGGTAAATCACATTTTTTTGATTAAGATAAATGAAAACAGGCAGTTGTATAAAAACATTCAATCTTGTTCTCTTTTTTTCACATTTAATGAGGAATGTAGGTTCCTTTGTTCTCAGTAACTGAAGAGTCTGGTTAAAGGCATTTATGGTCCCTTTGAAGAGGAACCAACAGGCAGTCCTTATGGGGGATGGAAACAACAAGGACTTATCAGAATGTAAATTCTTTCAGTTTGACTGCTGGGGCGTCGTCGCAAAGTCTAGTGGGGGAAGGTGTGAGAGATGTTAATTCGAGCCACAAAGGAAGTTCCATGCAAAAGTCTTTAGAAATAGTCTGAAGTTAAAGTGGARGTTTTCTTCCTTTCTCTGAGCAGTCATAAGAACAAGTGAAATCTAATCAGAAATGATTATTTATATGCAGGAAAATGCTACACAAAGCTCCCCACTTCCTCAAAACCTGCGGAGATCCTGCTGTGTAGATGTTCCCCGACTTCATGTATGATTGCTTGAGCCATCTGAACAACCTCACCCTTACAATTCAGGCCTCAACAAGTGCATAGATGTTTCAGTAAAGAAAGCAAAGACATCTCCTTGATAGTCTGTGTGAGAACTTGTGGAGCTACTTTGCTGACATGAACTCTTGTGTTCGCCATGCAAACAAATTGTTAGATTTGAAGTCTTAGCCTGATACCCAGCACTCTGAAGCTATATAATTTATCTATACTTTTCAAGATTAAAATATACACATTTTGTCATCCATGTATCTAAACATTTGTAGGACTATTAGTTGTTTGTTATCTTTCTGTAGGGGAGGCAGAAGTTGATGTACTGATTAGATATTTTAAGCAAATCTTTCAAGCCTCAGGAATGACTACTGATCTCACCCCAGACTAGTGGATAATTCTGAAAAACAGACTGTACAAAAAGGGTTACACCTTGCTTCCTACAACTAAGCCCGAGATAAATTGAATGCTGCAGCATCAGTGCCCTGGTGTGCTCAGCTTGGTAAACTTTRGCCTCTCCATTACAGCCTCCACTGCCGACTGTGAGAGGGGATTTAATATGTTGAAGCTTGTGAAAAGTGACAGAAATCTTAGACTTTCAGTAGCTGCTCTCTCAGATCTCAAGATGGTCCAGCTGTCAATTGAGGATTTTGACCCACCCCACCATCCAGCTGTGGCACCAGGAGATTATAAGACCCAGACAGCCTGATTTTTTTGTATGGGTAGAAAATACAGGAAGTAAAAACATTGTCAGAACCAGACTCTGATTCAGAATCAGCTGCAGATTAATGTAAAAACCTCAAAGTAAAGAATTTACTTTCAGAATGTCAACCTGTTAAAGTTTAATGTTAGTAATTGCTTAAAATGCACTGTTTTTGTTGTGTTGTGTGGTGTTATGTTATGTTATGTTATGTTATGTTATGTTATGTTATGTTATGTT